TAGAGGGTGATAAATTATATACATTAAGGGATTATATAAATGTGATATAAATGGGTTCACGATTCTTCAAACTACCCTATGCAAGCTGGCCAGAATTATGCCAACTAGCCAGAATTTTAAAAATCTCACTGCGCAGTCTCTCAAAAATTCTGCACAGCATGCAGTGAAAAATGCGCAGGCTGCGCAGTGGCCCACCACCAACCGCGTAGAAAGCCTTTATCTGATTAGCCAATTTATCTCTATATAAATACTGTATTTACTAATAAAATTAATCAAAAATATTTAATATACATATAAACAAAGTTGTATATATTTGATTTGAAATCCTTTTTAATTTTCATGTTTAAAAATATTTAATTATGTTTATACTACTTGTATATAAAAACATATTGTGTTCAAAAGTAGATAAAAATCAAGCAGATGAAATTATATGTAACTTCATGATTCGGATTGTTGAATAGCTGCTTCCGTAATTCTTATTAAATAATCTGTTTTATTATAGCCGTTTCAAAAAAAACCGATAGAGCCCTACGTACGTAATAATTGGAATAATAAGTGATAAAATTGAGGTAGATATCAAATTGCCTCATCCTAAAAGGAAAGAATTGACAATATATGCTATTAATAAAACAAATTAAAGTTGGCGGTAAATACATGGTTGGTGTAATAAATTAATGTTTCAAGTTATTCACGTAGTGTAAATCCATTATACACATATATACAAATTATATGTGTATTGAATTCTTTGTTACAATGTTATTTATTTTTATTTTTATTTTATTTTATTGTTTTTTTAGTTCGGTAAGTGATCTGGTTTACATTTGACAATCTGTAATACAGCTCTTTATTTTACAAAATAATTGATCAAAGTTATACATGATTTGGATTTATGCATGCACACATACATGAATGCTGGATTTCGGAAAAACGTGTAAAGTTAAACAATCACGGCCGATGACAATCTGATGCCCGGAATTAAATGGATAAGTGCACTTACTTTATTAGTAATGATAAACGTCAAATGGTAATATCATTCTTATTGCTGCAATTCATGATACCATCAAGAATTTAAGAATATTAGCAATATTATGATATACATAAACGCTCAAGATTATGCAGACGTGATGCCGGAATTTATTAACTTGTTCCCCAGAAGTTTTTTTAAAAAATTAATATAAAGTTTTTAAATTTATTCAAATCTGTTCACCAAAACCGTTCTTACTGTATGCACGGAAATTATGTTCTATTCCTTTAATGTTGGATAAGCGGGAAATTACTTCCATTTATCTTTAAAGAAAAAGGAAATATAGGTTACAATTAGTGTTATTAAGTTCCAAATATTCACTCTTATTAGCTCTTATTCACTCTTAATCGTTCTTATTCACTCTTAGTTTGACTTGCTGAATGATGAATTTAGAAAGTTCATACGTATGAAGTAATGATTGACTGACATCATTTCGCATTAATGAAATAAATAGCTGTTTTATATGTGGATTTTGATTTCCGGGATAGTGTAACTTAAAATTTCACAGTTGTACCGTTCACATATTACGACCACTTACCGTGCCCGCGTTGTTAAAGAAAATTTTAATATAAAAGGGGATAAAGATGAATGCTTAACATCGACCGAGAGCAGGCAAACATCAAATATCGCAATAAAATATCTGATATCCGTATTTTTTATTTGTACAATATCTTGGTCAAATAGATATCTTAACGTTACTATCTTTAATCTTCAGAATTTATCTATTCCTTTGCATAATGCAATTTCACTTCATTCACGACACCTTATCATTCCTCTCTTCTCCAACACTTCAGAACGACCATGATTATCTCTTCGCGCAGCAAATCGCGAACCCACCTTATCGTCTTGTTATACCTTTAGACCTTTTATTGGCCCCAAATCGCAAAGGCTCAACTCCGAGGCCTCAAAATTCCTTTCTTTTATTCAGAAAAGATTATAACATGAGAATGCACCTTCGAAATCATAATAAACCAGACAAATTAAGTACAAAAATGATTTCGGAGAATGCCAAACTGGAATGGAGTCAACAATCTCCAGAAGTAAAAAACTTCTTCAAAGTATTGGCCAAAGAGGCTGATAGACGGCACAAACAACTATTTCCCAATTATAAATATCAGCCCAAATGTAAACCAAAGGATAATGATAGTATCGCTCCGGATACTGACATTATTGAACAATATTTTGACATCCAGAGGTACTATAATGATTTAAAAAAATAGTTACCCGTTTTTTCGTACCCATTATAAAGTTATTGTTTTAATTCGATATATTACGAACGTTTTCACACTATATATGTATCAAGAACATTTGTCATATGTTTTTATGTTATTTGTTTATATATGAATATATATATTAGAACATTAATCGTTTCAATGAAAGCTTTCATTTTCTCCGCGATTTTATTTTTGGTCTTTACGTTTTTATTACAATAGCTAGCTATATTATGTATAAATTATCATCAAGATATATGATATGTTAAAAATTTTATTTAAGTTTGAAAAAAATTTTTTTTAATAAAAATATATGGTAAAAATAAATTGCCGTGGCGACCTGTCGCTTATATGATCGGCCAATCATTTTTTGAGATTAGCGATCATATAAAAATTTTTTTAATGTGTTACTAATTTCTTTTCAAAAGTAATTTTCGCGTTGTTTTAGTCGCTCCTAGTTGTATCCTTTTTTTTGCCTTTTTGTTTTGGTTGCTTGCTCGTTTTTTGCATGCTTGTTTTTTGTATGTTATGCTTTTTTGCTCTCTTGCGCCTCTTTTTTGTTTGCTTTTTAATTGCTTGCGTTTTTCCTTCTTATGTTTATTTTTTGTATGCTTGTTTCTTTGCTTGCTTCCTGTTTTGCTTGATTCGCTTTCATGCTTTTTGCCTTGACGCCTTTTCTTTTTTGCTTGTTTGTCTGCTTTCATGCTTTCATGCTTATTAGCTTGCTTTTGCCCAGATGTGATTTTGTCGTTGGAATTGTCGTTATTGGAGTTATTGGTGCCGTCATATTCATGTAAGTTTTTCGTTTTTCAGTCATTACTTTGTCTTGTCTTTCTTTTTTTTCTTTAC